ACACATTGTATATACACATTATATGAATACACACATATATACACCCAGTATATATACATTATATATGTACATTATATATATGCAATATATACACACATTATACAGATACATTATATATACACATCATATATGTATACATTATGTGAGTGTATATGTATACATGTGTATACACACACACACACACACACACACACACACATAGTGGGGGAGTCTGACACATACCCTGAAAGTTTTTATTTTCTTTATGATTTCAGTATCATTTAAAAGGTATAATTTGGAGAGGACTGCTCCCTTCCCCCCATCTTTATATTATTCATTTTCATCAGTTCTCTGGTTTGGGACCTATTTATGAGTTGTGAATTCTGAGTATAAATGCAAGCAACAGGGGCACCTGGGTGGCTCAGTCGGTAGAGCGTCCAACTTGGGCTCAGGTCATGATCTCGTGGTTTGTGAGTTCAAGCCCTGCATCGGGCTCTCTGCTGTCAGCCTGTCGTGCAGAGCGCACTTCGGATCCTCTTTTCCCCTCTCTTGACCCCTCTCCTGCTTGTGCTCTCCCAAAAATAAATATTAAAAAAATAAATAGATAAATAAGTAAAGGAGTGCCTGGGTGGCTCAGTCGGTTAAGTGTCCAATTTCGGCTCAGGTCATGATCTCACTGTCCATGGGTTCAAGCCTCAGGTCGGGTTCTGTGCTGACAGCTCGGAGCCTGGAGCCTACTTCTGATTCTGTGTATACCTCTATCTCTCTGCCCTCTCTCACTTGTGCTCTCTCTCTCTCTCTCTCAAAAATAAATAAATAAACTTAAAAAAAATTTAATAACTAAATAAATGCAAGCAACATCTAGGCTAAGGTGCACTGTATTCCATCAGGCCAGTTTCTTACTGGCCACGTTTAGAAACCAGCTGTATTAAATCTTACTAAATCCAAATTTCTTTTTAAGGAGTATTTGCTTACAATGATACATAGGATCCGTACAATGATATAAAAGCTAAGTTAAGTGCTAACATTTGCACTGTGTTTTTCCCCCCTCAACTAAATCTGTCCTTTCTACCTGAGCAGGGGGGAAAAAAAAGAGTCAATACAGATGAGTGCTTTGCACTGTGTGACTGACCTGAAGTTTCCATGGTGGTTTGGGGCTCACAGTGTATCCTTTCAGTGTGCTTTGCTGATCTCAGCAATTTTCTGTCTTGTTTTATTTAAAGCCAGTTGGATTTCGAGACCAACAAAATGTTAATTAGGTGGGTGTGCAGAGTCTGTGTGGAGAGTTTGTGTATCCCATCGATTGTGTCAAAGGAAAGGTAGAGGGGCGCCTGGGTGTGGCTCAGTGGGTTGAGCCTCTGACTTTGGCTCAGATCATGGTCTCACGGCTCATGAGTTCGAGCCCCGCATCAGGCTCTGTGCTGACAGCTCAGAGCCTGGAGCCTGCTTCGGATTCTACGTCTCCCTCTCTCTCTGCCTTTCCCCTGCACTTGCTTGCGCTCTCTCTCTCTCTCTCTCTCTCTCTCTCTCTGTCTCTCAAGTATAAATAAAAATTAAAAAAATTTAAAAAGTAAAAAGAAAGAAAAGAAAAGAAAAGTAAACTAAAGAAAAAAGAAAAGAAAAGGTGGAGAGCAGCTGGGTGGCTCGGTCAGTTGAGCGTCCGACTCTTGATTTTGGCTCAGGTGGTAATCTCATGGTTCGTGAGTTCGAGCCCCATATCAGGCTCTGTGCTGACAGCTGCAGAGCCTGCTTGGGATTCCCTCTCTCTCTCTCTCCCTCTCTCTCTCTCTCAAAATAAATGAATAAAATGTTTTTAAAAATGACTTTAAAAAGAAAAGGTGGAGAATAGGGGGTAGGTGAAACCGTGAGGGTCTGGAAAGGGAAAATACACTCAGAAGTGAATGTTGGTGGTGGTAACATGCCCGTGGTTCCCTGCCTAGTACGTGGAGGGACTGGGCCAGACCTCTGGTCTGTGACTATCTATCCCTGCTTCTCCTACTTTTCTCCTAATTGAACTTTGCTAATGGAATAAACTGACAGACTGAGTGAGGTTGTCCCAGGCTCATGTGCTGTCTCAGCATCTTTGCCATCATCTTGGGTAGACAGGTTATAGGCTGGCCCTCATGGGGCGAGTCCTGACCATTCGGATGACATCGCTCTCTTTCTCTTTGCTACCTTCCTTGAGACCAGAAATTATCATAAGATCTTTCACGTGCACTAGGGATTGGCTATGGAGTGACCAGGAAGATCCACTTGGAGGCATTACCATTGGCTCAAGCATCTTGGGGTGGGGGGTTCTTGGCAGTCTTGGAGGGGGTGGGGAGGGTGCAGGGGCTGCTCTCCCGGAGTCCGTGGCCTCTTCTGGAGGATATGCGACACCAGATTCAGTCGAGTGGATAAGAGAGTAGAATTTTGCCCCGGCACAATTTAATTAATGCCCAAGCTAAAGTGGGGCAGTTACATTTGTTTCTTAAGAATGGTTCAGAGGGGTGCCTGGGGGGCTCAGTCAGCAAAGCACCTGACCTGGGCTCAGGTCATGATCTCGCGGTTCACAAATTCGAGCCCCGCCTCCGGCTCTGTGCTGACAGCTCAGAGCCTGGAGCCTGCTTGGGATTCTGTGTCTCCCTCTGTCTCTGCCCCTCCCCTGCTCGCGCTCTGTCTCTCTCTCTCTCTCAAAAAAATAAGTAAACATTAAAAAAAATGTAAAAGAATGGCTCAGAGGTGAATCTTTTACTTTTAAACGACCCATAAATATTCTTGTTGATAACGCAATTACAATTCACCAAATAAAATCCAGTAGAGAAGCGCCCGCAGACCGCACACACGAATGCCCTCACTTGCAAAGGTGCGGAGAAGAGGGACTGTACCACCGGGTGCTTGGGTGATCCCATTGTTTTCGTTCCTTTGGGGACGGGAAGGGTGTCTAGTGCAGGAAATGGGTACGGCATTGAATTATGTTCTTAAGGAAACCTCTGTTAGTGGTGATGGGTTCTTCACAGGACTTTGGAGGTTTGGGTAAATAAATTCAAGGGACAGAGTAACATGACCAAACGTTACTCAAAGATCAGTCAAAGGGGCAATTTCCCAGTGAGTGTCCTGGACCGACAAGAGAAGGATTTCACTGGAAAAGAAAAAGTCCACAAAGCAAACTTCAACGATGCCATCCCCCGTATGGTAATTTTATTTTGGTGAAGCAGAACGTTAAGGATTCCGGTGTGAACGCAGAACGGGGCCGGTCGTGCATGGTGTTTGTGTACAGGTGCACAGGCTTCCTCCTTTCCACCCCAGCTGGCTCCCTTCCCTCCCGCCACCCTTTCTTATTTCATTGCCCTTCTACCCGGTGCCTTTTACCCTCTGCTCTAACTGCCCCTCTTGGGCCGCGTGACTCAGCATGCCTCTTGGCTGTCTCATGTGTCGTGAGAGCCCAGCTGCAGGGTCCCTTTCAGCACAGGAGTTGGGATTTCCTTCCGAACGACGCTCGAGGTTGCTTTTTGTCATGCCTGTTGGAAGCCAGGAGCGTGTGGTCATGCTGATACTCTGTGTGATAGGATGCCCTGAGCATTTATACGCTCCCTCGTACTGAGCTCATACCCACCTTCCTGGTGTTGACCCCGTGGGGCTGCCTGGCTGGGGCTCGGGAGATGACTGAAACTGACACCCCCCCTTTGGGGCTCCCCAGATGACACCCTACCTGGAAACCGCTCTTGATTCTCGGGTCATTCCAGTGCTTGCGTATCTGTCGGGCCACGTCATGCCTGCTATCCCAATCCCCAAACGGAAACGGATGTAGGACTCTGTCTCCTCCTTTCCCACGACTTACCCCCAGTTTTTTTCCATTTTTTTTTTAATTGGAAATTCTTTTCATGTTCCCTCTCAACAAAGACTTGGCTGCTGACAGCTAGACTGGGTTTAGATGAGTGATTTATTTTATGGCAGGTTGTATGAGGGTAGTAAAAAGAGACTGCCTGGCTCTTCTGCTGATTTACTAAAACACTTGATCTCTTCCAGTCCAAACCACTCCCCCCACCCAAGTGGCCACGGCGTTTTAATAAAAAGCAGCCATCTCATCCATCTGAGGCTCCTCCACCCTACCTGGCTTCTCCGAATGTCCAAAACAGCTTGTTAAATGGGTCTCACCCTGGTTTCGAACAGGACAGAGTCCTCCCCTGGAATGGAGAGATCTCTGTGTCCAGAGATGAATATTCCCCACTTGACGGCCAATTTGCCTTCGTGCTGTTTTGTTATTTTATTTTTTTATTGAAGAATCATTGACATTGACATGCAAGATATCTTCTTGCCTTTTTAGACTTCTCTACCCTCCCTGCAGGTCTGCAGGAAAGGTCTCAACATTTCCATCCAAAATGACTGGATGTACGTGGCTTAGGTTATTTTGGAAATGTGAAAATTCGGGCTGATCAAATATTACAGAGTCAATGAGTGTAAAACCACAAACTCGTGGAAATCTAAAATTAGAAACGAAGAAGGAAATGTCTTTTCTTGAATTAAAAATTTGGCAGTTTGGGGATGAACGTGAAGATTATATTCTGTTATAATTAAATTTTTTACTTTTGAACTTTCTTTGTGGTACAATAGACATAACAGAAGTTCTCATTTTGACCATTTTTCAGCGTCCAGGGTGCAGTTCGGCGGCATTAGGTGCATTCAGTAGTGCAGCCGTCACCACTGTCTGTCTCCGTGTGACACTCCACCATCCTTCCCCATGTGAAACTCTGTCCCCATGCGACACTGACTCCCAGGCCCCTGTCCCCAGCTCCCTCTACCTTCTGCCCCTGTGAATTGGACTGTTCTGGGTAACTGGAGCATCATTACTTTCTGGAACAAAGCAGTCCTCTCCTGGCATTCTCCCCCTACTCTCGGTATCCCCTCACCTGATCCCTCACCCATTCTGCAGATGCCATTTTGCAAGCTCTTTGGTGATTTGCTGAGCCTTGTTTTTATTTTTTGTCATTTGCTCGTTTGGGTTACCACTAACCCTCCCCTCCCACTGTGTCCCTCTGCAGTCTTGAGTATCCGGGGAGCCCAGGAGGAGGAGCCGACAGACCCCCAGCTGATGCGACTGGACAACATGCTGCTGGCCGAGGGGGTGGCGGGCCCCGAGAAGGGTGGTGGCTCGGCGGCAGCCGCAGCCGCAGCAGCGGCTTCGGGAGGCGCGGGCTCAGACAACTCCGTGGAGCACTCCGATTACAGAGCCAAGCTGTCCCAGATCAGACAGATCTACCACACGGAGCTGGAGAAGTACGAGCAGGTAACCATGGCCATGAGGGCATCGGGTGCCAGGACCTTTTAGGAAGGACGAAGAACCTCTTAACTCAGGGGCTTACACAGACCCCAGGGGCCAGCCTCTGCGCTTCAACACAGAGTCCCTGGTCAGAATGGAGTCCACCAAATCCTCGAGTCTACCAAATCCACTGTTAAAAACCCAGGCACACTGGACATTAAGGCATTTTAAAAACGTAAGTTGTAAGCGATGATTTCAGGAAACATTACCAGTCAGTATAACAAACACTCAGGCTGGGGCTCCAGAGCATTTGCCCCTGGCGTGCAGTCAGGTCTCATCAGGGTAATAGAGGTCATTAGCAGAGTCATCACCTGATTTGTGGGGTGGTCGCTGGGTTCCTAGGGCCCTTGTTTGCTCATTTGGGGGAGGATTCCTTATCTTCTGGGTACTCATGGAATCCTACGGGAAAGGATACTAAAACATAGCCTTAAAGCCCCTGCTGTACCCAGACTCCATTCAACTGAGAGTCAAACATATTCTTTTTGTATATGATACAGAATAGGATACTCACCTCCCTCCAGAAGAAGAGTAGAAGGTCTTAGGGGACCCCTGTAGGCAACAAAGTTGGATTCCAGTCCTGACACTCCACGGATGGCCCGTAGGACCCAGTGGTCCACATATTCCACCCAAAAGCTGGTGATGTATGGCAAAGAGCTGTGCATTTGGCATCACAGGACCACAAAGACCATATGAAGGAGAGCATAAGAAAGACTTTAAATTACAAAGCAGTATGTAAAGTGTACGTAATAACAGAGCTCCTCTCTCTAAGAGACCCTCCCCTCTACGCACACCCACAGGAATTTACGTATCCATTCTGCTTCCTGTGGTCAGTAGGAGCAAAAGGCCCTTACACCAGTCGTTCTTCCACAAGTAGGCGACAGGTGTGTTTGTTGTCAGATTTTTGAATGCAGCATTATCCTGAAGTTCTGTAGTTAACTTCCATCAAATTGCTGGCTTTCTGGCTTTCTTTTCTAAGAGTCACGAAAGAAGAGGGAGCAAAAGCAAATCAAAAGACCCTGTACAGTCCACTCAGGACTATCTAGGTACAAGGCAAATGCAAACTTAATAGAAAATTTAAATTTTAAAGTAGAAATAGGCATTTTAAATTTTAAAGCGAAGAAAGTTTCATTATTGCACTCCCGTCTACCTTTGAAATGGATTTCTACCGAGTCCCTTCTTTTATGAGGGGGAAAAAAATTGCTGTGAAGCATGAAGCCAAGCATGGAAGCTCAACGATCAGATAAGCCTGGGGAGGGTTTGAGGGGAGGAAAAGAGAAGCGATCTGGTGGTAAGAACCTGTGAGTCATTTCTGTTCACCTTCTCGGGAGACAACATACATTCTTGCCACAGTGTTGGCTCATGGAGACACTTCCCAAGATCTCAGGAGATGCTGAGCCCAGGTAGCGGGCTGATCCCTGGAGCTTCTCCAACCCGATCCATCACTGTAGAGTTCAGAGTCTGCCCTCACCTGTGGGATAGCTTGGGAAGACAGATGGAGATATTTCCTATAAAGGTCTCTAGCTAGCCTCTTGAGTTCTTCCTACTCAGTGCTGTTCCTACTTGACCTTCAAGATTAAGCCTGGTTATAACAACCTATCTAGACCTGCCATCCATTTAACTCCCTCCAAACTCCAGGGGCACAAGAAGGGCCCAGAGGGTGGCTTCCCCCACTAGACCCATGACTGCGATGGATATTAGGCTGGCAGGTGTTGAAAACTGGCTTTATTCTTAGCTCAGGTTGCCAGCAACATAGAAGAACTGACTGTTTACTTGATTTAAACCCCCTGGTCATTGTTCTCCGCTCATCCAAAATGAGTAAAACGCTGTTGCCAACAGCATTGCACTTGTCTCTCAAGACAGTTTTGTGGTTGGGTACCCGGGACCAGAACTGCCACCCTCTCCATTTTGATACAGGTGAGGGAATGGAGATCAAAAGGCTTAGCTTGTGTATCTGGGTCACACATCCTGTGAAGGGCAGAGCTTGCCCTGGAATCCAGTTTCTGAGCCTTAGTTTATGGGCTCTTATAAGAACACCACCTGACTGCACTCAGTATGGAGAGAGTGTGGACTTGTGTAGACAGAGAGGGAGTCAGCTTGTCCTGTGTTACTTCCATGGACTAGATTACTGGTACCTAAGAGAGGCCAGGGCTAATATGCTCCTGGATATCTGCCTATTTTAAATAATAAAGATGTGGGAAAGCAGAAACTCAGAAAAACTCCCATCGGTACAGGACAAATTATACAAGTAGGGTGGTGATCATCTGTATTCCTTATTCTTAAAAAAAACTAACAAATCATTTCCTTAGTTTCTGGGCAAGAACTGAATCCTACTTAACACACTTTGGGTGTTTAGTAATTTATTAATACTAGTTATATTGTTAATTATAGTAAATAACAGATTGTAGGGAAAGTATGGCATTAAACTCCTCACTCATATGTCGGGGAGATGTATCTTCTCCACCTTTCTGTGACCATTCCTTGTGGGAGCTTTTTTTAAAATCAGGTAACTTCAGGAAAGTAAAAATGTCATCCTTTACTTTAGTAGTACGTGGGTAGACTTGCCAAATTGGCTGTTAATAGCTGACTCTGTTGTTTTTATTGGTTTTGTTTTTAGCATGGTGGTGATAGATGACCAGACGATCAATTAGCTTTCTGCTAATTAGGTATCATCGCCCTCCTCAACCCCATCCCTTCAAACAAAAACAACCCCCTACCTGAATCAGCCTTTGATTTACCCTGAGGTTATTCCATAAAGAAAGCTTCTAGAGATGTTTATTAGACAGAAAGGAAAGAAATTATTTTATTCAGCAAATGGGGTTGGTAAAATGCTTTTCAGCAGATCACGTAGGTAGCTAAGGTATATGAGAACTGATGCATTCTAACAGACAACACCGTGATGTCAGAAAGCTGAATTTTATTCCAGCTGATACATTTTTTTTAAGTGATGGGTCTTGGGGCTCTCCAGGGTTCTCCAGCTTTCGTACATAATGCTGCTGGGGCGTGGATGGGGTTGAATCTGTAAGGCTGACCTGGGCTGTGTTGGCAGGTTCACGGCTAAGAGGACCCTAAATCCTAGTTATATTCTTTGCCGAGATTGGCACCAAATCCACTTTGAAGGAGTGAGGGAAGAAGGCGGGCTCAACAGAGTGCAGGACAGAAACTTAAAACTCTGTCCCGCTGAGCAGAATGTTCGAGGCGGGGGCTTGTCTTTCGTCTGCGGCTCCCAGAAACGCCGTTGCCCTGGAACCTCAGAAGGGTCCCTTCGAAATCCTCGGGGTCTCTGGGGCACCCGGAATGGCACCTCCTGAAAGTGACTGCCTTTATGACTGTCCACAGTGGAGTCGGCCCCGTCACAGAAACTTTCAGCCTCCGAGGGTTCTGTGTAGTTAGCGAGTTGTAACCCCAGCTCTCCCCATTGCTGGCGCTTCGAGAACACCTGACCTAACAGAGGCAGCCCAGCTTCCCAAGGTGGAAGCTGGCGGGATCTGAGGAGGACTCATGGGTAGTGAAGGTCCTGGGAAAACCCCAGATCGTTATGCTCTGTCCGTCTCACGTGGACTTGGGCCTCGCCTCTGCTCTTTTAGTGTGTGTTCCCGAGCAGCTGCCTCGTTCCACCTCAGCAGTGGGTGAAAAGACCCCACTGTCTGTTTATGGCAGAGCAGAAAGGGCCCCAGGACGAAATGCCTTGAATAAACGTCAGATATTGTGAGTATTTTTATTCCCTGTAATGAAGCGCGTTATTGTGAGCCCAGCACTGCGGCTTCCCAGCGGAGAGCGAGTGCCCTTGACAATGCCTCCCCACATCCGGCCCCTCCTCCCTTTGAGCCCCCACGAGGTCAGGAGGCTGCAGGCCAGCGAGGTGCAGCGTTTGCCCACAAAGCCGGTCGGGATGCTTGCTGTGTGCCTAACCCGGCACTCCCCACCCCGTGGCCTCATCGAATCCAGCCAAATGGATGCCAGGTTTTCTGTCCTTCCCTTTGTTTACAACTGGGGGCTGGGTGGGCAGGGAGGAAGCTTATCATACAGATCTTGGGTTTATATAGTAATTTTCTTAGTGGAGAGCAAAATGCTACTTGGACCTGATCTACGGATTTATCTTCAGCATTTGCCTGCAGAGTAGAAAGCAGGTGTTTATCACCCTGTTTATTTTTACCAAGAGGGAAACTGGCACCCGGACACATCCTTCTGCAGCCAGACACACACCTAGTAAGTCATCTGACCCTTACCATCCCCCTTGAGGTGGGTGCTGCCACCCCCAACTCACAAATGAGGAAGACGAGTCACAGAGAGATTAGACAACTTTCCAAGGTCCCACAGCTAAGTGAGTCCCAGAGGCAGGATCTGAGCGCAGGCCATCCAGGCCCTTCTCGCGTGCTCCCCTGTGTTTGCGAGCACGGTTCACTCCGTCCACAGGTCACTGTACAGGTCCGTAGTTGCTGCTAGCCTTGCTACAGGTTTGCAGTGATTAAATCTACACCCTCAGATGCGTACAACAAGGCACACGGAGTAGTGATAGGCTTTGCCCAGACACTTAGGGAGGCGGGGTCAAAGACCAGACCTCCCAGTCTCCAGTGTAGACGTTGCCCAGTCGGCTCCCCAGGTATCTTTGGCCAACCAACCTCAAAGGATTTCTTAGAGAAACGAACAGCGAGTGGGTTGTTGTCACTGCATTCTTGACAGATGTGAAAGGCTTTGCGCTGGAAAAACCGGGGCCGTGCAGTGTTCTCACGAATGGTTGTGTTTCTGTTATTGATATTAAGTTGGAGCCCTTTGAGTCCTTGGTTCTTCAGCTGTCCAACGATCGTCTTGCCTTTTTCGTTACGAATCTAATAGAGTTGTATAACGTTGCTGTGAGTTAACCTGTGCATAGATATTTTATTGAACGCTCAGCTAAGGAAACCACACTTCAGATGTTAAGAAATAGTAACCACAGGAAGGGTAGTGATGTTCAGAGGAGCAAGTTTGGACGGAAGTCCCCGGCCTGGAACAGGAAGTGTTAAGGGTCCTGACTCAGCTGGTCCTTTTTTGCCATGTGCCTTCAGAAAAGGCCCTTCCTCTCTCTGAGCCACAGTTTTCCCAACTGTAAAGTAAGAAGGTGGGAAATATGATCTTTAACTTCCCTTCCAGAGCTGATGGTACGTTAGTCTAACCTGAGAGCTTTCCTTTCTGCAGAGATGGCTTCTGAATCCTCGACATCATGTGTTGATGCTATTTCTACAAGGCCTCTGAGGACAGATCCCTTTTGTGTCGTGGCTTTAGTGGGTCTTCCGAAGGCCGACAGAGGAGGCAATTCTCATAATAAAAGTAAAAGGAGAAATAGGTTGATGCAAAATCTCCCGGGAAGGCTAGCTTTTAATTCCACGATTCCATTCTTTGGCTGTTGATGTATCCGAAAATCAAACATTTGGAAGTTCTAATATATCAGAGATAATGAGCAAGGCAGAAGTTTATGTGGTATTTGGCCCCCCAACTGTCTCTGGCTGTTAACATTGGGGTGAAGGGCTGTAGGGTGCATTTTTTAAAAAAAATTTTTTTAGCATTTATTTATTACTGAGAGACAGAGCACGAGCATGGGAGGGGCAGAGAGAGGAGGAGACACAGAATCTGAAGCAGGCTCCAGGCTCCGAGCTGTCAGCACAGAGCCCGACACGGGGCTCGAACCCACAAGCCACGAGATCAGGACCTGAGCTGAAGTCGGACGCTTAACTGACTGAGCCACCCAGGTGCCCCGGGCTGTGGGGTGCGTTTTATACTAGGATTAGTGTTCTCACCTTTCAACTACAGTAAATCATGAAAAACAGGAATTCTTTTTTTTTCCCTTAAAAGAAAAAAAATGTCCATGGTGGCCAAAAGTTAAATTCAAACAGGATGCAAGGTGTTTCTAAGCAACCATTTACTTCATCCCTCTGGCGTGACAACACCCCACAAACTTGTGTGGGGTGAGTTGGCTTCCCTTGTGCCAGTGTCTAGAAAAGCCCACCCAGCCTTCCGTCCGGGCCCGGACCCTCCACACGGCCCCTGTTTGTTGTCCTGCCGTTCCAGGCGTGCAACGAGTTTACCACCCACGTGATGAACCTGCTGCGGGAGCAGAGCCGGACCAGGCCCATCTCCCCCAAGGAGATCGAGCGTATGGTCAGCATCATCCACCGCAAATTCAGCTCCATCCAGATGCAGCTTAAGCAGAGCACGTGCGAGGCCGTCATGATCCTGCGCTCCCGGTTTCTGGACGCGCGGTGAGTCGCCAACGGGGCCGCCTGTCCGCTGGCAGGGGCGGGGTGGGGCGGGCGGGGCGGGGCAGGGGGTGGGGAGGGCATCCCGGATCTGGGGTTGGGACCCACAGCGGGCCCTGTCCACAGGCTCCATTTTCATCGGGTGAAAGGCCACGCCGAACGGCAGCCTGCGGAAGTCTCTTGGGTCGGGAGCGGGAGGCTGCAAGACCGGATTAGCCGTTGGTTTCAGACAGCTCCGGGAGCACGTGTGATGGGGACGGATGCTTGCCGTCACCATCGCGGCTCCCTCTGAGTGCGCGGCGGGGATGACCAAGCTGGGTGAGGGCAAAAGCTGCACGTTTGTTTTCATAGCACTCGGTACCGCCGTGTCGTAGCTCTGGGCCCCTAGCGGTCTTCCTGAACGCTGCAGTGACGCGCGTCCCCCAGCAGGACAGTGCGGTTTGAGAGTGAGATCTCTTCCACCGTACATACGGGCAGGGCGCGCACTCAGTTCAGCTCAGCAAATATTTGGAAGCGGATTGCCACGTGCGGGACTCCGGGCTAAGTTTTAGGAGGACGGAGATGACTGGGGCCATGGTCCATGGGCCCAGAGGAGCAGGGGCTGGTCTGATAAGACGCCAGATTTTCAATCAGGGCTTGATGTGTTCCGTCTGGCAGTGCTACTCCTGACCTCACGTGTGAGTTCACAGAATTCCAGTGAAGAAACCCTGGATGGAAAGGTCCTTTAAAAAAAAAAAAAAAGATAAAAAACAGAACAGAGAGCAAGCAATCATTTCTTGGTCCTTTACTCTCTCGACCAGTGGGTTTATGCATCTCTCACTGATTTCCTTTAACTTCTGTTTCGCGGCCTGCAAGCTGGTGATAATCCTATCTTTCATTTACTCCGGAGGAGTATTTTGATGATCGTTCCAGCGGCCACGTTTTCAGAGTGTGGGCGCCCCTGGCGACTCACGCTCCCCCTTAGATTAGCCAACCTCTACAAATGCGGCTTTCATCGTTCATTACTTCGATCCCTAAAAATCATCCCCATCTGTGATTTTAGTTATTAAAGCTCTAGGTATGTCGGGGGAGTGTGCCATGTCATCGTTTATAGTTTTGAACCTTTTCAGTGAGACAGAAAGACTCAGTGCTCCTGGTAGAATTTTTTCACTGCCACTGTCGTGCCTTAGTCAGCTCTCTCACCTGTATCTCTCTCTCTGTTCACAGTTGTGGTCTTTGCAATCCACAGACCTCTCTAAAACTCCTGGCATCTCCTAAACTCCCTTTCTTTCGGTGTGTTTTGGGTCGCACGGAGCATGAAATGAGACTGCCAGCCAGCAAAATGTATCCCTGGGCCCCCAGAATGCCAGAGGGTTAAGTCAGGACAGAGTGAAAATACAGACAGCTTTTCCCAGCTGGGGAAGACTCTGGAGGGGGGGAGGCAGCGTCGCCCTGAAGCGGGGCCCCTGTGCGTCGATCTCCCTGGCCTCGTGGCCGCTGCCAGCCCGGCTTCTTTAAAGCAGGCTGTTGCACACAGTACGGAGTGCAGGTGACTGGTGACCTCTGTCTGGGTCGGTCCCCTGCCCGTGCTGCAGCCACCGCCACTCTGCGTGGCTTGTTTCCATCCCCATGGAAACTCCCCTGGTTAAAATTCTGGAGCTGGTATGTGTGTTGGCAGTTCCTGAAAAAGAGAAAAGTTGGGCCCAGACTGGATTTTTTTTGCAGAGAGAACCCGGGGAGAAGGGAGGCGCAGAATCATCGTCTTGTTGGATTTCTTCTCGCAGGAATTGGGCTGTGTGCAGTTAGAGGTCAGACCCCAAACGAGGCGAGCTTTGTACACAGTTGCTGTCCTTTCCACCAGCTTTTGCCTACATGGTTCCCGTTGGCATCTGAAGGACGGTCACTTAACAGAGGGTCTCTTTCCTGCTTTGGTTGCAACCTTTGAATCCTTGCCTCTGAGCCAAGCTTCAAAACGAAAACAACTCAGCTATTGTCATTGTTACTAGCATTGATTTTGAGGATATATTTGGTATCAGTGAAAGAATATAACTCCAAATGCCAGCCCATGGCTGAGCAAAATGGCTTTCTCCCTCAAAAATAAGTGTGGACCTCTTGATTGGGGTAGTTCATTTCCTTGCTTGCTTCCTGTGCTGTAATTGGGGAGCTAACTTGACAAACCTTGGTGAGAAAGACAGACAGACTCGGTGCTGATATTCACATGCGTGTGATGGCCAGGGCTTCATCCCTGAAAGATACGATGGAAGACAGACGAAATACAAGGGGACTTTGACTTAGTAATAGGATTAGTCTTTGTAATGTAACAGGTATGTAGAATCGAAGGGTCCTGCTTTGCTATGTAACACTCCTTGTCTTAGTTTCTCATGATCACCTAACGGATTACTCAAATCTAGCAGCCTCAAACAACACAACGTTATTACAACACAGCTTCCGTTGTTTAGGTGTCTGGGGACAATTTAACTCAGTCTCACAAAGCTGTAATCTGGGTGTCAGCTGAGGCCGTGACCTCATCAGAGACACAGTTCCTCTTCCAGGCTTATTCCCGCCGTGGGCAGCATTCAGTGCCTTGTGGTTGTGGGACCGAGGTCCCGGCTCCCACGAACCACTCTTTCCATGGCCAGCTCTCATCTTGGCTGCTTGCTTTCTTCCCGGAAACCAGCAAGAGAATCTCACTATTTTAAGGCTTTAACATCATCTCCCTGAACAGAGGATGATACCTTTTTAGCGTCACGGCCACACTCGGGGGAGGGCGTGGATGCCAGGCTGGACTCTTACGCCTTTCTAGAACTCTATCCTCCATACCCTTCAGCTGAGCGCTTGGTCCAGCTGTGTCCGTTCACATCCTATCCTTTTTCTCTTCCTTCCATTGACTTAATAGTGCCAGAAGAACTCATTCATTCATTCACTCACTCATTCATTCTACATTTATTCTCGCCTGGTATGTACCGAACACTGTGCTATCAAACTTGGTAAAGTTATTGTCAGCATCATAAGCACGGTTTTCTCAGTTGAAAGAGAGAGAACTTGGGAACACTCTTGATGGTTTTCAGGCAATAATTGTAACTTCTGTTTGGTAACATTTTGCTGGAGACGACACTAAGAAGATAATCAGATATCAGAAGAACACCTCTGCATTTCACCCCGAGAGAGGGATGCCGTAAAAAGTAGTTAGTAAAGCGGAAGACGACAGGAGGGAAGGACATCCAGTAAGGTCTGGTTAGACTGGCCCATGTTTGGATTTGTGTATCTCATTGAGTTTTAGTCTCTGCCAGAAGCTGTAGCAGCCACTGGAATAACTAAGCGGGGGGGGAAACATATATAAATGTGGGTCCCACCTTCAAGGAGCTCATAATCTTGTGGGACAAAGCGACACTCGTCTACCAGTGAACTTAAAACCACATGTTACACGTGCTTACCTCCTGGCTGCACCGGAAGGGGAGGCGGAATGCAGGACGGGGCATCCCAGAGCTGGCGTGGTGTTTGCCAAATAGCCTCCACCCCCCGTTGAGCAGAATGAAACCGTGTGATCCAAGTTTGACAAGCAATACTTACTGGAACGCTTCCCGGGTGTGAGGGCACTAGGGTTTCGAGGATGAGTGACACATGGCTCCTGCCCTTGAGGACTTTGCTGTGTAGCTGGGGAGACGTACGTGAGCTTGTGGCAAATGCCGTAGGAGAGGAGTGCACAGGGTGGTGTGACGAGGTCAGGAGCGTGGAAGTCACGAGTGTCTTTGGGGAATGGAGAAGCAATGATGTGGCTGGACGAAACTACGCAGAGCATGTTTAGGGATGGGGGAAATGAGGCACCAGGGATAGGCTGGGTCCGCTGCAAAACCCTAAACTACACCCGTGAAGATTTCAAAATTTGTCCTGGTAAGCAGCAGAAACCTTCAGAGCTGTTTAAGGACGGAGTATAGTCACCGACAGCGTAAGTTCCCAAACTGCGTGGCGTGGATTCCAAGCCTGGCTACCTTTGTAACCCTGTCCTCCCTAGGACTCCTGTCTGTAAAGTGGGAATAACCCTATACACAGGAATAAACAAGAGAATAAGAAAACAAAAACCTTAGTATAGGGTCCAGAATATCGTATGCACACAATGATTCAGCTAGAATATACCAAGGATCACTGCGTTACAGATTCCTTATTATTATTATTTTATTATCATTATTGTGATTGTGATCGCTGTGATTAGTGACATGATCAGACAGTGGCCTGTCGAAACCCATTTCAGAACTAGAGTGACAATAGGCTGGAACGGAAGAGTTGGGTTTGAAGGACTAGAGCTGGCAGAACTTGCTTCCGGGCCCGTCATCGGACGAAGGTAAGGCAGCAGGAGAGGCTGAGTCACTCCCAGGTTCTGACAGCTGTGAGGTACTCAGGTATTTGAATGAGCGGATGAATAAATTTAGACACGCCGAACCGTGGCTATGGGGATGTGGGTAATGGAGAAAACGGAGCTGATCTGGGTGCGGTGCGATGCTGGTTTTGGAGACGCGGAGTGTCTAGGCCGTGCGATGGGAGATGGGCAGTGATCCTCCAAGAGGTGATAGGGCGGGAGGCAAGACAGTTGGTACTTAGCAGCGTATGTGTGCTGCACCTGCACTTCTCACTCCTGAGTCACTATGATTCAAAAGTTTCCATCCATAAAGCGCCACATGTATCTAATGCTATTTCCTCAACCCCCACATGTCTTACATTAACAGCCTAGATCCCCACCTCCCAAGACCCAGAGTCTCAAACGTTAACCTACCAAGCCGATCACACTTCAGGCCAAAGCCAGGGGGTCGCTCAAATAAGCGTATCATCAGAAGTATATTCTTTTCACTAGGTTTCTTGAAATTCTGCAAAGTCCTGATCTTGGGATTGCCAAGGCCCTCAGCGGAGACCGTCACGGAGAGAGGTGATAAGCGAGCCCATCAGAGTAGATGAGACCGCCTAGGGAAGGTTGCACATCACAATGAGAAGAGAGTCGGGAACAGCTGTCTGTACCAGCCCCACACCCACCAGCTCATTCCAGAGAGGTTTCCTTTGAGCTCAGTTGGAAGACTCCCAAAAAATACAGTGTGATGCTAATGCAGACAGCTGAATGAATGAACCAAGGTTCTCCCAATTAGGGGAGCCTTCAGGGTCCAGTTCCCCAGGCCTAAGACAACTGTTTTCTTTAGGCAGGGAAGAAGCCAGAGGTTACCGAAAGCCTGGCCCGGAGCCCTTGTTAGCCACTTGGCTACTTTCCTCAAATTCCCAGCAGGCGAGGACTTTTAACAAATGCCTGTTTTTCGAGTTGGGCTTTTTTAATCCGTTCTGCCCAATTTCTGATGCTGGGTGACCCAGAAACTCAGCGTGATTTGGGAAAGTGACTCGGGCTTGGCATAGTCTGGACAGATGTGGTTAATACCTATGGACAGATGGTGTTCATCCGGTAAAATCAGGCACTTTATTGTGTTAATTAATCCAAGTGGGACCCTGAAAATACAATATTAGCTGAATTTCCTGTCTAGCAAGGCGATCGGTGTTTTCTGTTGGGCTAAATCGGGAACTCCTGTATCCTGGCATAACCAAGGATGTTCTGGAAATCTCTTCCATAAGGAAGAGCTTTTGATAAAAGCAAGAAAGGCAGAGTGCTAACAGAGCTCATTTAACGATGGGGTCCCCACCGCCTCGAGGAGGGCCAGCCAGCCTCTGCTGTGAGCGGGGCGTCCCCAGACAGCTCCCCAGCTGCCCACAGGCCAGAGCTGTGAGGAGGCAGTAAAGCAATTCTCACTTTAAAGTAGTTCAATTAGCACTTTTTTCTTAAAGACAGAAAAACACTTTGGTTCCAAAAGTGGTTCTCTCCCTTTCAGCAACCTGTGTATTAAGCGGATTTCTGCGGGCTTTTGTTTTACCATTTAGCAGCTGGTCTTGGTGTGATTTCTCTCCTTCTGAGGGAGGTCAAGCAGTCCAGGGGGGTGATTCTAGTTTCTTCCACACCCTCTTCCCCAGATGCCTTTACAGAACGTTGTATGCATTTACCTGGGAATGGAAGAAAGGGGAAATGCTCGCTTATTTTTGACTTACGGCTATAGAGTCTCTGTGTAATCGGCAGGAGGCGATTTGTGTATAAGAAAGAGGGCTGGGTTGTATAGTCAGGCAGACCCGAATGGAGGTCTTGGCTCTATAACCTACCGGCTGAGTGAACTTTGGTAAATGGGAAGATCCGTACCTATCTCGCTAGACGTGTAGAGTGAGTAATTTGAGTTGATGAGAGGGAAGATCCAGTGCCTGGAGCCTGGTAGGAAGAAACACCATCACCGGGCATTCACCATGTACCAGGCACTGTGCAGAGCCCTTTCCAGGTGTGGCCTCATTTTCCTGTTCTGGTCACCCTGCGAGGCCAGTGTGACTCCGTTCGCTCTCAGCTGAAGAAGCTGAGGCTTGGAGAGGCATCCCAGCCCCCGGTGGGCATTCAGTTGGTCCAGGATTCAATATCAAGGTGGTTGAGTTGTACAACTCCATGGTCCTCACCCCTCTGTACAAATATTGGCGACTGATTCTCTGCTCGGTGCCCCCGTGAGGCACCACGAAGCATTTAACAAATGCCTTCCGCGGCGGTTTTGGCACCCAGCCCCTTTGTGCAGGTTTCCCCTAATTCCACGTTTCGCTCCAAAATTTGCCTTTTCCCAGAAGGAGATCCTCGTCTCTCCCTTTTTATGTGCACTCGGTGTGAACTTTTTTGTCCTTCTTTCCTTTCTGTTCATGAAGGCGGAAGAGACGGAATTTCAACAAGCAAGCAACGGAAATCCTGAATGAATATTTCTATTCCCATCTCAGCAACCCTTACCCCAGTGAGGAAGCCAAAGAGGAGTTAGCCAAGAAGTGTGGCATCACAGTGTCCCAGGTAAGGGGCCCTCAAAAGGCTCAGCTTCTAGCCTGGCTGTGGTGGAGCCCACGTGGCAGGGTCTTGGAGGTGTGGCTTTACCAAGCTTCCATGCCTTGCTCGCTTTAGCATCCATCTGCTAAAGCCCTAAAAATGGCAAGGTGAGCACCTGATATGTTGAAATAGGAGAGCTTCCAGGTAAGTCCCTGGGCAAACTAGAGAGGGTCCAGCAGAACTGGAGGAGTAGAGTACAGTATAAAAACAGGGTTGGGGTTCTTCCCGTTGAATGCTCGGTTTCTTTAAAAATGGGCCAAGGTTCTTACGTGTCCTGGGAAAGCCATCTGCATTTGTCGCATGGTTTGCTCAAACACAGGCCATTCCTTAGCTCATCTTGTGCCCAACCCAAGAAAGAGCCAGTGAATGGAACTTTGAGATGTCCTCTCTTGACGTGCTCGTCTCTGTAACTGATGGGAGGTAGGACTTTTAACATGTCTCTGTGATGGCATCAGAATGGTTGCACAAAATGTCACTGAGTGCCCCCTTCCCCCAAAGAGCAATAACCATAATAGTTGCCAGTCGGCATGGAAAGATACATGATAAAAATAGTTTTGTGGACCTGGTGTCTTCAACAGTAATATGGAAATAGAAAAGTAGGCAATATTTCTGTGTACGTATATTTTGCCGGCTCAAAGGATCCATCCAAAACTTCTTATTTAATCTGAATGCCATCTCAAAGATGTCCACTGGTCTCTAGTTAAGAACAGTAGTGAGAATTCTGAAATCTAACAGAGAAAGTCCCTCTGAATTCTGTCACAGGCAAGAGAACCAAATGTACTGGCATTTCCATAAAAGGGGTGGGGGGAAGAAGGCTACGAAACTTCACCTGGCATCTTCCAAGTAAAGGAGATGCTGTTTTGTGTAAACTGAGCATTTGTACTTCCTTGAATTAAATCCTGGCTTCTGTTACTCCCTGTGGGGTACTGATCCCATCATCCTCTGTTTACCTAAGCAGAATTAATTCTAGTCAGAATCGAGAACTCCACGCAGAGCACATACAACAAGGAGATTACCAAGGCCTCCCCCACATGCTGTGGGGATTTTGGCAGCAGCCTTGCAAACCCCAATTCCTTTTCATCTCAGACCTTCCTTAGATGCTTTGATTCCGGTGGAGGTTTTTCCAGTCTTAACCCTGGGAAAGCAGAACACCAGAGGCCAAGCTCAGGTGACCTGGTTTTGTCCAGGTCTTGAACCATTCTTGTCCAACTTCAGATCCCTTGTCCACAAGAGAAGAGAATTGATGTTTTTGATATTTGCTGCATGTTTAAAGGATGGTTTCAGGTAGGAGCCATGTCACTGACAGCGAATTTGATACATGGAACGTTCTACTTCTGAAGCAGAATTAAATCACTATACGGTCTGACTTGTAATTCTGGGATTCAGAATTCTAAATCCCTGTTGAAGATAGAATGAACTCTTCAGGAGTTAGTCTGTATTAAATCTAGAGCAGAGATGGAATCCCGGCCCGTTCCAGCAACCTTCACTGACTTCATTATGGAAATGCAAGGTGCAAATAATTTGCCCGTTAAAATGAGTATTTATATATGGTATCGCCTTTCCCTTTCCTTCACCCACCTTAAGGCCACGCCATTCTTCCTTCCCCATCACATTACTCCCTCTCGACAACTAAGCTATCCCACTATTGCCGAACAAGTCCCAGTGGGAGACAGTATGATACGATATCACAGCAAGAGCATTTGGCCAGGAGCATGTTTTTGTCAAGAATCAACTATGAGATTTTAGGGAACTCCCTCTTTTGGGGTCTCAGTAGCCCTGCCTGCCAATCATGGTTCATTGGACCACACGATTTATTAAATTTCCCTTTAGTTCCCAAATCTAGGGGATGCACATTTGGGGCTTGTGTGTGTGTGTGTGTGTGTGTGTGCGCGCGCACTGTAGCTATTTTGGGGCTGTATCTTTCTTGCGTTTTGTTTTGTTTGTTGTTTTGTTTTGTTTTTTGTTGCTGCTGTCATTTATTTTGGTTAATAATTACCCCTCCATCTTGAAATTATCCTACCTTGGTTTTCTTGCCACTGTCCTCTCTGGAGTTGCCTTCTTCCTCTTGAGCGACTTTTGCTTGGTCTTCTTAGAGGACCTGCTGTCTCTCTCGACCCTAGAAGTACCATTTTTTCTTTAGCCCTCATCTCTTCATGCCTATACCATGGTTCTTGACCTTTTTTTATTTTTTTAGCCACAGATTCTTTCAAAATCTACTTATTGTTGATTCCTCCCATGATCCACAACAAAAAGTGTGCTGATATACCCAAATTTATCTATAGACCATCCTCCCCTTTCATCCCTAAACAGCCCTTCCTGTATTACCAGAGCTGCTTGGCGTGTGGTCTCAAAGAAGACACTTTGGAAGCTTGTTCAAAATGTAAATCCTTAGATCTCACCCCAGTCCTGAGTTAGAATCATGGCACGGGGCGGGTTGGGGTCTGTTTTCACGAGCACTCCATGCACACTTTGACTCAGAAAAGTGTTGTTCTACACACTTTGTCTGAGTGATCTCTACTGTGCCTCCGGCTGAAAGTATACCTTTATTTGAACATCCAGATGAGACTTCTGGAACACCAAACTCCTATAGCTTACTTCCCAGTGGACCCTGCCATGGCTCTTCCCAGGCTCTTCAAACTTAACAAGTTCAAGAGGCAATCAAACTCTCCCCAGAGAAACGATTATTTTTTGTGTATTACCTGTCTCAGACTGTGTCTGTCATCTGTGTGTCACCAGAGCCTCCCACATAGTAGATCCCCCATGACTATGAACAGCAAGCCAGTTAATGAAAGCACCGGTTATATCCGTGGCTCAGGGCATCTGATATCACTTCGTGGGCCATGTTGGAAATACGTGAACTGACTAAGCGTCTTGTCTGCCGATCTGTCTGCTCTTCTCACTGATAAGGGAATCACTCCACCGCCACGTGCCTTCTCCACCCTGGTCCTTCTCTTCCTTCTTTTCTCTCATGTAGCTGATTTAACCACATAGACCTCAGACATTTCTTTTCTTCCTCAGAAGCCCTCCCAAACTACCTTCAACTTTCCGCCTTTCTTCCAGATCATCCAGTTATCTTAGAAAAATCTTCCTCTTTTTCCTCTCTGTCATCTGAAGAGTGAAAGTTACATCAAGGAAAGCATGAGTTTGGGAATGAAATCAGATATCCTGTGGTCCTAAAATGGCCCCGGAGTGCCCTTCGTCTCTTAATGTAACTCTGTAGGCACCAGCATTTACAATAAATAAAACAATTTCTCATGGAATTTCTTTCTCTCCTTTCCTTTACTAATACTGCAATGGTATGGTTTGATTTTGGTGACAAAGGCTTGGTATTTCTGCCATGGTATAAGCCACCCAGGCCTGTGAGGGCTAACCTTATAAGATTTCTAAGTTTTGCTAATGCATTTAATTTTTTTTTTTTTTTCAGTTTATTTATTTTGAGAGACAGAGCAGAGGAGGGGCAGAGAGAGAGAGAATCCCAGGCAGGCTCCGTGCTGTCAGTGTGGAGCCCGATGTGGGGCTCGAACTCACGAACTGTGAGATCGTGACCTGAGCCGAAACCAAGAGACACTTAACCGACCGAGCCACCCAGGCGCCCCTAAGTGTTGCTAATGCATTTAAAAGACAAATGTAGTTTTGCGAGAATTATTTTTTTATCTGCCAGTGTTGGGGATACGTGTGTTATCAACTATCTCTTCCCTCACCAAATTCATGATTCGTTTTGGAACTTTCTTTACAAAAAGACAACATTTTAGTTTGGAGTCATATCTGGAATACAGGGTATAAAACATTCCTCACAAGGCAGGGATTTAGGGGTAAAACTTGAATTTCACTGCATCTGTACTTGTCTGGCCGAGGTTGTGGTACAAAGGGAACGGGGATGTAGAATGGAGTGAGGACAGCTGCTGTGAGCCACATGAAGGAAATAAATTAACAAGTGAAAGTAGAGTAGGCTTATTTTGTGTATTGGCTTTAGCATTTAAAGCCTGGAATTCAAAGGAATAATGTGGTCCGCTTCAGTTTTTCCTTGTGTTGTTAACACCAAGCTTTGCACAAAATACTTAGTGAAATCCATCAGATTGAATTATATTGATCCTAAGGTCTATAGTACATGCCGCTAAGAATCTAGTCAATATTAGCATTATTTAACTTCTATAAATTTGAAATTATTCCATCAGGGAGAGCACCTATATGTTGATATAAATTTGTATGGGTATTTATTTTTTTTCATTTCTTTTTTTTTAAGTTTATTAATCTATTTTGAGAGGGGGAGGGGGCAGCGAGAGAGGGAGAGAGAGGATCCCAAGCAGGCTCCACGCTGTCAGCACGTAGCCCAAGGCAGCGTTCGAACTCACAAACTGTGAGATTGTGACCTCAGCTGAAACCCAAAGTTGGGAGCTTAACTGACTGAGCCACCCAGGTGCCCCATATATGGATATTTAAAATTCTGTGCCTCTTGATTGCTCAGTGTTAGCATTGATCAGTAACAGGCATTCTGCCTGAATTGCTGTGCTTATTTTGGTGTCATGTTCTTAAGAGGTAAGCGACTTTATGGGGCACCTGGGTGGCTCAGTCGGTTGAGTGTCCGACTTCGGCCCAGGTCATGATCTCACAGTTTGTGGGTTCGAGCCCCGCATCAGGCTCGGTGCTGACCGCTTGCTCGGAGCCTGGAGACTGCTTCAGATTCTGTGTCTTCTTCTCTCTCTCCCCCTCCCCCTGCTCATGCTTTGTCTCGCTCTGTTTCTCAAAAATAAATAAAATGTAAAAAAAAAAAAAAAATTAAAAAAAAAGAGGTACGCGACTTTAAAATGCCTGCCCTAACCTTACAAGTGTCCAAGTCTCAATGAGCAGCTCCTTCCTAAGAAGTTTTGCCGCAGTGGTCTCCCTAAATGGCACTGTACTAAGCAAGAGAATCTCATTGTCTGCGATGGGTCCTCTCAGTACTCTTCTTCAGCTCTTTTTCACTGATGTTGTTAGATCAGCATAGGATCCGTCCACATAGCCTGCCTCCGCAGCCCTCTCCTGATCCCCTTCTGTTTCCTCTGAGATGTTTGCGCCGGATGGAATGTTAACTTTCTCCTCTTCTCTTAAACTGCTCTAGGTATCAAACTGGTTTGGAAATAAGCGAATCCGGTACAAGAAGAACATAGGTAAATTTCAAGAGGAAGCCAATATTTATGCTGCCAAAACGGCTGTCACTGCTACCAATGTGTCAGCCCATGGAAGCCAAGCTAACTCACCCTCGACTCCTAACTCAGCTGGTTAGTTTTTTCTTTGATTTGGGGGGATCGTGCTCCATTTTTTATACCTGCTTTTCCTACATTGGGGTTCTCTTTTAATCCTTTAGGTTTCTGATTGGTTCACTGATGTATTTGATTTGTCTTTTTTGTTGTCGATGCCACTTTGGGTTTTTCCTTTCATTTCCAAAGAGCAGTGCGTCTTACTCTTTAGAAGACGGGTTTGTCCAGACGTTTGCACTAATGTGTCTGTTTAGGTTGGACGGACCTAAATTGGTTGGTTTGGATGAGAAGACCTTCACATTCTCCTTTCAAAGATGAACTAGGTCTGTTACTTAGAGATAGTCCCTTGGGGCTCTAGCATTTAGTCTGTTTCACATGAAGTTTTTACCCTGGTCTACTTTGCTGTTCCCATCACATAGTGTCTGAGAGACCCACCTCTCTGCAGGAATATTCCTCATTACAGTGCTCTGGTGTGCAAAGCCAGCCTGGGATTACCCCCGTCCACTGTTTTACCTTGTTGGTTTCTTTATGTCAACTACAAAGAAAATTGCCAATCATTAATTCAAATTACGCATATTCCAGTTTTCCTATTATAGTATTAGTCATGTGCTGTGCTCCTGGTTTTACTTCAGTGAAAATGCATTCCATCACTAACTTCAGAGTTCAGGCTAACGTAATATATTTTGGGGTTTGCCTTGTACCACCAGTGCTGAATTTCCATATGTGAAAAAAACTGTCAATAATACATAAAATCTAACCTTAGTGTTTCTATGCTATGGAAGGCATGTTGGTACTTTTTTTTTTTTTTTTTTTTTTTTGGTAAGGGGAAACCAGAAATCGTTCCTTATTAAATAGTTGTGGTCTCAGATTATGTGGTATTTGCCCCCATAATGAAACATGTGCATTGATTTTGGTGGTTCGGTGCACATCTAAGAAAATTGATGCCTCCAACTTGAAGGGTCACAAATTTAAATATGTTTGACCATAATAGGATTATAAATCTAATTTCTACCATTTCTGGGAAGTGTCCTTGACCCCGAAACTTGTTTGTTCGCTAAAGTAAATTCTCTTTCTACCTTATGGTGGATGGTTATTGGAGACGTGTAAAGCTCCACATGCTAACGTCTTCGTGAGCTTCTAGATGCACTAATTTGTTATCATAAGGCTCTCCACGTCACTGGCCTGTTCCATCATAGCCTTGTTTTGTTTAAATGGAATCACGCGTGAAGAGTGGCCCGAGCGTTGTAAGCATGGACATGGTAAGACAATGTAGAATTCAGTCTAGTTTTATTTTTCCCAGCATGCCAGGTTGGGTAACTCTGAAGAGCGTATACTTTTTGAGGTTTGTGCGTGTGTATTTCCTTCTTTCCCCCTCGTGGCATGATTGACAAAGGATCAAGGCTAAGAGGTTCAATAACCAGAGAGTTTCCTTCTTCCCCATCTGGTCAACTATTAAGCCTTTCAGACTCCAGCAACACTTAGTTGAATCGCACTGCGAGGCAGACATGTTCATTTGTCTCTGGAAGAAGTACAATCCTGTCAACATTAGCAAAAACACACTCAACACTCCTGCAAAGGTTATCATAATGCAAAACAGATATCAAAATGACTTTTTCCTGTCCCTGATATATCTGCATTGCAGATGGTTGAGCATGATTTATGACTAGTCCCTAGAAGGGCCCTGTGGACTCCCTTCATTACTAAAGCCGTAACTTTTTATTCGTTTCTAAAGCACTTAAAAAGAGAAAAGTAAGCATTTTAACCTCCCCCCCCCCCCCCCCACTCTGGTTTAAGAATTATGTTGCCTCTCTTGGAATGTCAGTCAATGATTACAGTTTTCTAAGGAATTTTACTGGTAGCTTCAACTTATGTGACTCTTCTAAGCACAGAGTAAATTATCATGGAAAATTTGAGCTAAGCCGTCCAGTTGTGCCTAAGCTGTTGGAAACAATATGCAGAGGAAGCCCTTTGTAGTGCTTTTTTTTTTTTTTTTTACAGCAGAGACAAAAGAAAATACTACTGTATATGTGCAGTAGCACGGAATTTTCATTCATCAACGTTTTAACAGAAAAAGTCTTACGGGGGCTTTTCTGCATTTTCCTTCGCTCTTAACACAACCTGTATCATTGCACAGATAAAGTGAGAACTTTAAAATGTTCCAACTTTTCACCTAGGGTGTTGATAATCTTGTATACTAACTAGTTCTTTGATAATTCCAAAGGGTAAATGATCATTGAAACAGATAGGAGTGTTGCATAAGAGGTTAATATGTGAAAATACATTTTGGCTGAGTTTGAAGTCTAGAGATCTGGAACCTGGAAACTTTTTATATCCTTCATATTGAAGCAGGGTTTTTTTCCCAGATGCTTTACTAAATATAAATACTCATTTTTACGGCAAAAAGGATACTTTGCAAGTAAATCTTCTTCCCTCTAGAGGCTTTTGTGTAGACAAGCAGTACTCAAGTATCTTTATTTAGGTCACTTCTGAATATTCCTATTTGTTGATGTATGCCTGGTCTCTTGTTTCCTTAAGCATAATTCGTTAAAATCACTTTGGGTGAGGACCGGGGGCGGGGTGAGTAAGCATTTACTTGGCGTGTTTCATATCTGACACCAGCAGAGTTGGGCAGAACGGATGGAACAAAAAGGAAGAATGGAAGGATGACAAGAAAATGAAATCTTCACACACACACACACACACACACACACACACACACACGAAAAGGCAAAATGGGGACCATTTGAAGCAATAGTTATAACCTCAGGTCCATAATCCTGCAATCACCTGGGGGAACTCATTCTTAGTGTCCTATTTTTGATGAGATTATAAGAGCAAGAATCAGATCTCGGAAAAACAGGGCCCCTTTTGGAAAGTCAGATGATCTTCTAGGGAACGTTTTAGCATCCAAGAAGGAAGAAATTGGCTTGTGCATTACAGATGTTTTGCTGCCGCATAGCATCAGCATTGGTATTTTATTAGATGCTGTGATTAGCCAAGCAACCCCAGGCTCATTGAGGCTCAGGACCCCCTCCCACGATTCGAATTCTTTTGCTGGCTCTGGGGTGTGTGTTAGGGGCAACTGCGAGCTTGGCCATCAAATTACTTCTTCTGGCACTATTTAGTCAGTGGCAAACTCTAGTACATGTCTGTGCTACCCCTAATAGAGGTTTGGTGTTTTTATGGATTGGGAGAGCATGTTCTTATTAAAACCCCTAGATCCTGGCTTCGTAAGAGAAGTTTACGTATGTAGGACCCACAGAGAGGAGGTAGCACACCCAGAGAGGTTGGCCAATCCTTAATAAATCCTTAGGAACTTTTACAATTTTTTTTAAAGCCAAGCGAAAGAATTTATCACACTGATGTTTTCTGCTGTGTTTTTTTCTTCCCTTAATTTCTACGTTAGAAAATGAAAACACAGCCTGCTGGAATTGGAACTCTAGAACCTTGCCATGTGCGCCTGCTAAAGGGATGTCACACTGAGCCAGACAGCCTCTCCCTCTTGTGCTTTGTCCTGAGTAGAAAGTGGCAATGATTTTTGGAGTTTGGAAGGGGACTAATCATGGAAAAGAGAGAAGCAAGCCTGAGATGCAGCGAAGCTTACGTCTATCAAAGACGCCCCATCTTTTGCGCCTCCGGATGGTGTAGGGGGTCCAGTCTGATCAGCTACCATCTAATCTCTCTGAAGCCTTGATTTCAAGGCTGCACAATTAGGGTAATACTTGTCACACAGCCACTTTATGAAAATGCTATGGGGAATAACGAGCCAGTACTTTTAAACACTTTGCATTCCTCAGCAAGGAATAGTAAATCCTCTCTTATGCTACGTCATTGGTTCTCATCTGGATGAACTTGTACCTCAGGTGACATTCCGTAATGTTTGGAGACATTTGGCTGTCCCACTTTGGGGAGGTGGGTACCACTGGCATCTGGTGAATAGAGGCCAGGGATGTGGCTGACCACCCTCCGATACATAAAGCATTCCTCCACAAGGAAGTTTCCAGGCCAAAATGTCAATAGAAACCTGGCTTTAAGTTTAGACTTGATCGTTAGTATTCTGGTTTTCGGATTATGAAGTTAATTGTTTTGTTTTGGGTTTTTTCTGAACAAATTTAAGTCTCCTAAAGACTCTTCAGTAGCAATGCAGTCTTTGGGAAATGATCTTCCGAAAATGGATGTTAGCACATCTCCGCCTTGCCATATTTGCCTGAGCAAATGCATTAGAATCCGTAGGTGACCCATTAGTTCTTGTCTGTCTAGTGGATTGTAGATTTAGCTCTGTACATGCCCCAAATGTCTGGACGACAGCTTAAATGAGCCAGTTGCCTTCCTTCCCTCTCCAAATTCGGAACCTTTTAACTGGCAAGCACGTCTCAAAATGCGCTCTTAGTAATTGCTGATTCCCAGCCACCTGCAGGTAAGGTGCCTGACAGACCTTCTCAGCAAGCCAGGTAATTCTGTGTTAGTTCTTTGAGAATTCCGCAGCACCGCTAAGACTGCCTGTTCTCTATTTGTCAAGAAAGTCCGTCTGCCTCCGGAGGCTGGCCGTTCTGTGAGACGTTTTTTTCTAACCTCCAGTCCAGGAGAAGAACGTGTCTTCTCCTCCTTACTTAGAGCCTCGTGTGGGCTTCTGGCTGCCTTATGGCCGTGTCAATGGCACGCGGCCTCTTCTCTCAGAAAAATCAGTGCCTCTAGGTACTTATCAGAGGGTCGGAAGCCATGGTAATGTTGTACATGGGTGTACGGACAATAAAATGCAGAGGCAAGAACACAGGGATCATTCCTGCAATTACTGCTCTGATTCAAATGCACTTGTACATGAAGGACATTGATATGCGCATATTTATTTCCATGTACACTCGGCAGCCAGACATATTTACAATTTATCTATGCACATATATTTTTTAAATCATCTGTGTCAATTGCGGTGTGTATCTTGTAAATGGCACGTTCCGTACCTTCATGGTACCCGGCACCATTGCAGCCCTGTGGGGCTTTTCTCCCATTCCTTCGTTTACGTGCTAATTTCCCGTAAGCCATCAGCAAAGCATATAGAGTGTGGGTTTATTACGTGGTATTTGATTGGGAGAGAAAGAAAATCCCTGGGCATCAAACTGAACATTCTCGGAGGAAAAACATCCTGGTGTCATACAGACAATTGTCATTCAGGGATCTGGGAGCTGACTGTTCTCGGTTCTGATGCCATCTACGCGGGAGCACGCGTCGTAACAACGAGTACAAAATGGCTGTTATTATTTGGGTTCAATTAAAAGAAAGGTTTGAGAGGGATGTTAAGTAGGACATGCAGGTCCGGGAATTATGTACCTCAACGTGACAGTGTGATCTGTGCTGCACCCTGCTTCACCCACACGTTGGGGAGATTTGCGCCACATTACTGGAAGTTGAGAATCTCCCCAAGGAAACTGTTGGGTTCTTCGGAATGGCTCCTGCCTTGGGAGGATGGGGATGCTATGAGCGGTTAGACATAGCACAGAGTGGCAGAGTTCAGAATTCATTGCCGGTTAAGGGACTCTTCCAGGGCACAGAAAGAGCCTTCTCTCGAGCTCCAGGAGACAGCCCTCTAGGAGAGCGCAGATCCCTATCTTGGGAGATGAGAAAGTGTCAGAGCTGGGGCATCATTGCTGGGTGATCCCACACGGATGATGGCTGTCAGAGTGTGAGGGCAAGGGCGCAGTTGGAACAAGACAGAGTTGGAAGTAGAGTGGAACTGACCTGGGTCCCTAAGGTCTCTCCTTTTCTAGGCTAATGTCATGTTTTAACCAAACCTTGCACGTTGAGCTTTCTTTCCTAATGCGCTGAGCTGCACGATGACTTCAGAATAATATGAAGCTTCCCCACGCCCTTGTGTTTCGGCTGCGGGTAGGCTGGGTTTACCCCAGTGCAACCTGGGTGCTGCCTGGAGGCTAACTGCCTGGGAGAAGGCTTCTTCTCTGGGAGGTGAAAGCAGATGGCTGACTGCTTTTCTTGAGGCCCACTTTTATTATTACCATAAGTGTTATTATTAGCATTTCGCATTCCGTGCATGCTTCAGAATTCCTGGCCCGTTATTCTGTGTCCCGTTCCTCCGTAATGGCGGGCGGCAAGGGAAGCAGGTGGCCATTCTCACGTCTTCTTGCAGTCCTTGACGCTCTCCCGGGCTGCTTGCCACCCAGCAAGGAGCCCGACCTTCTTTCCAGAAATCAGGAATGTCAATGGACTCGCGTCCCAGGGCCAGCCCTAACGCGTGGCACTGCTTTCATGCATACCCCACCCGGGGCTGCTTCCCACAGGAGGGCAGATGGGTTGGCAGTGGCCTGTTTGAAAGCCAGCCGAACAGCAGCTCATGTGCCCCAACATGGTGGCACCGGCCCAAGTTTTTCAACCGGTGGAGAACCCCTAGAGTTTAACGGGCATGAAAGAGAGGTCTCGGGTCTGGAGACCGTCTCCGATTCGCATAGACTGAGTTGAGAAGAAGAAATGTCCCCTTTCGCAGCTTGAAGCTGTCAAGGGGACACAGTCCTATTGGCAACTTGCAGTAAGATGTGGCTTCCCATAACATGGACGATACGCACCCTTTATCGCTTGCTCTGTCCTTCATGCTACTAACCGGATTCTGTTGATATTATTTTTATTTTAGTGTTTATGTGGGGGGGGTGTCGCTTTGCATGTCATTCTTCCTCTTGGCTGTTAGTTGCAGGGGTTGTGACCCTTTGCCTTTCTGTGATTCAGGTGCCTCACTCTTTCCTTTCCAGGTTCTTCCAGTTCTTTTAACATGTCAAACTCTGGAGATTTGTTCATGGGCGTGCAGTCACTCAATGGGGACTCTTACCAAGGGGCCCAGGTTGGAGCCAACGTGCAGTCACAGGTAGGGACCCAGCCAATGTGCCACCAGGTGAATGCATTGGAGTCCCAGAGCCCTCGGTCGTATTGGCACTTGCCAGTCTGTCCAGAGAGAGAGAGAGAGATGGTGAGAGAGGGAGAGATGGGCGGGGAGAGAGAGAGTGAGAGAGAGAGAGAGAGAGAGAAAGAGAGAGGGGGGGAAAGGCAGAAACACAGTCTTACCAGCAACCAAACCAAAACGAAACAAAGACAGCCATGGTCATGGGGAATCTCGTCCACACTTTGTGAATGCATTTGGCTCTGGCTTGTCAGCCACACTGGGAAAGCAGGAGAAGAGCAAGCCCAGGGTGAGGCGACCAAGGCCCATCGGGCACGTGGAACCAGCAGCGTATTCTTTCCTCACTGAAGGGAAGGGAGGAGGAGTTCAGTCCATTGTCTCACGTAGCAGGTCTCCCTCTTGGTCGTGGGCTTCCCACACTCAATATTTGCCAACTAAGGAGGTAACTGATGAGTAGGCAAATGCCTTCGTATCTCCTGTTTTTGTTTCAAGCTGTAAAAACACCCAGCCATGTTGACTAAACTCATCTTCTCAGTCATCCTTGAGGTCAAGGAACTTGGGTTTCTGGTCATGAGTCAGAGCCCATGTTGGGAAGCAAACATCAGGTCGTGTGGTGTAAACCCTTGGTACCCATTAGCAAGCAGCCCGCCTTCACTACGCCTCAGGAAGCCACCCTCCGGTCTCAGCACAGAGCCTGCTGTGAGAGGGTAAAGTCGAATGCCCTAGGTCAGGGTTGCTAGGGAAGTTGGGACCACCTTAGCCCACCCTCCCACCCTGCGTGTGGAACAGGAAACCCTACATGCCTGGAAGAGACCACCTGGCCAGTGATTCAGCCCCTCGCTCAGGGAGCTGCCTGGGGACAAGTGTGAGGAGCCATGGTCAGACTGGCCAAGCGAGCGAGCAGCTGGCCGTCATCCGAGTCCTCCAAAAGATGGCGTTAGTCACAGACCGCTGTGTCTGTGAGGTGGCTGCCCCAGCCCCCTCTAGACAGAGCCTTGACTTGTGTGGGATACCAGCGAAGGAGAAGCTCTGGCGGGTGATCTGCACGACAGGGGGGGTGTGGCTCCTTCACTCTGTCCCCGCTCCTGTCACCCGGTCCCCGCCGTCTCATGCAACGCCGTGAGTCAGTTTCAGCGGTGGGAATCCCAGGTTTCTCTGACCATTCTCCCGTCTTGCTCACTGAACTCAGAAAGGAAAACGGATTTGGCAGATAGAGAGGCGGCCTCCTCCTGGCGGGCCCCTCCCGGGGAGGTTACCTGCGTCACGATCGCGTGAATGTGGCACGTCCACGCGGTCGCCTGCTTGATGATTCTCTGCCTCCCTTTGCCTGCGTCTCCCTGACTAATTGCCTCTCTGTTGTTGTTCATTGTTTAGGTGGATACCCTTCGCCATGTTATCAGCCAGACAGGAGGATACAGTGACGGACTCGCAGCCAGTCAGATGTACAGTCCGCAGGGCATCAGTGTAAGAAAACAAGGCTCCCCCACCCTTTGTGTTTCTTCTATCATAACCAATTATTTCAAAGCCACAGGGCTTGGAATGCCACTTAGTAGGACTCGTCTCAGCTTTATGGTCACCTAGTTTCTTGTTTCTGTATCGGCCACGCCGTCGGCAGCGTTCCACCCACACAAAAAGTGGCGACTGGGCAGGCTTCACGCAGGCAGCTGGCGTCTAGGGCTGTCACACGCAATCAGTGTTCGCATGGCACCTGCGGCCACTCGCGTTCAGCCGAGAGGAGCCGCTAACCAGGTGACACCTAGCACAACAGTGGTAGGAAATGTCGCCACAAGCAGGGGCCTGGGGACCTGGGTGGGAAAACCAGTAGCCAAAATCCATTGCATCCAGGTCTGTGGTCTTAAAAAAAAAAAAAAAACAAAAAACAAAAAACAGCCTTTCTCCAATCTGTCTAAGGACGAAAAGAAAAAAAAAGAAATTAACTCAGAGGCCGGGTGCGTTGAAGGGATGGGGAGGGGTGCGGACCATCTTCATGTTCTTGGGCGCGCTGGCGGCTTCTGACTAGCATGAAAATTCATAGCGACAAGCTGTGTCGCACAGAGTGAAATCGATCAGACAGACACAAGGAGAACCGAATGTAGATTTGGGACAGCAATCCAACTTGATTTCTCAGATCAATCGTCCGCTATCTCAGCAGCGGTGACAGCAAGCTGGGACAAGAGGCAGCCTGGAAAAGGAGGCTGTTCTTCAGATCAGGGGGTCATTTCCTGGGCTTTTAGAGGTCATAGAAAGCGCCACCAGAACCATTGGCTCAGAACTGTAGAAGAAAACTGTGGTTGATTGATGGTGACGATTTCTTGTTTGTTTCTGTTGTTGTGATTCAAATGCGTTGGGAATGGAACGAAGGAAAGGTAGGCATGACATGTTAATGGCATCCCGGTCTATGCTCATTGAGGTACAGTGTCTGCAGTGAGGGAGGTGATGGCTCCTTCCAACCCACATGCGTCAAGTCAGACATGACTAAGCCCAGACTAGAAGGAATCAACGGAATACCAACTGGTTCATCACAAGGAATGGTTGAAAGAATTAGGAGTTCTTAGCCCATAAAAGAGAAAATGCGGTTGGTATATAGTAATTTGAAACACGTTATTTGTGGGGAAGATTGGATTCATCATGAGTGATCGGAAGGGGGGAAGGATAGAAGCCCTGGGTGGAAGATTCAGGGAAGTACATCACATTTCAACAGTTGATGGGCCTTTCTCACAGAGTTACCTGGAGAAGGGATTGGCTTCCTGGGAAAGTCAAGATTTCCCCGTCATCAGAGCACTCAAGCATGGCGTAGCTAGCTACTTAGGATGTCAGAGAAAGGAGTCAAGTACCAGGTTGTAAGTGTCTTGGTGACTTTTAAGGCCCCTGCCAATTAGGAATCCTTTATTGTCTACCTACTTTTGGCGGGATCTACTCTGAATTTGTATGATATTTATCAAGTCCCTCTCTGGCAGGAGCTGGAGGAGGTCAAAGCTAACCCTATTGAATGTAGTCTGGGCAATCATGGCAATTTTCCAGAAAGAATTTCCAGAACAGAGGCATGCTTCTCTTCTTAGGCTCCTACTAATCATTATTACCGTATTAACGGCTGACTTGCCAGAAACCTGCTCAGAGAAATACGAGATACTTGGTGGAAGACTGTGTTCTCAAAAACGGATGCCAGCTCAATGAAGGTGCCCTGTGCTTCTTTGTTGCGGGGGGCGGGGGGAGGGGTTTCAAGCACATATGCATTTATGCGTTTTCTGAAGATAGGTTTTTTTTTTCCAGAGAAAGCTTCGCTCTGTGTAAGTGGAAGACAGGAACATGAGGAAAGTACCAGAGGGTGGGGACGAGAATATAGGCACACTGAAACAAGGAACTGCAGAAAGTCTATGTGAGTGGGCAAGAAATGGGCTCCCACTTCTGCTGTGTGGTATCTTTCTTCCTAACTGGGTAGTGCAGAAGAGGGTGCCACTCAGGCTCTGGGTTGGGGGTGGGGGGTCAACATTGACCCCTCTGATGTTATCTGGTGGGCTGGGAATCATTTCTGCAAGAGGGTAACCAAACATGTGCAGACAATTATGTCTGATTACATAAGCTTCCCACAGAAACTGGGCTTGAAAATGCCACTCGAAAGAGTCTGTGGTTGTGCGTTAATTTTTTTCCCTGGGAACCATGTTTATTTTATTTCTGGGCCTTCAGTATGCAGGGTAAATGATTCAAAGGCTGATCGTGGAGGATGCGTGCCTTTTGGTATCCATTTTAAATTTTCCGTGGTGCCACCTGCAGGAGACGAAGCCGGTTAGAGCAAGCTGTGTTTTTAGACCGTGGTGTTCGACACGGACCCGTGTGTACGTGCAGAGTGGGGCTCTGGCCGCCAGGAGAAGAAAGAGGGAAGGAGGGAGACAAGAAGAGATGAGGGCAGGAATGAGAGGTTCGAGCCAAGAAATAAAAATAAACAATTCCCAGACCCAAGGCAGCAATGGAATTTCCAGCTGGACTCTGGATTGTGTTTCATTCGGCAGAGGACATTTTCTGGGCAGCCTTTATCTGCTCCCCTGGCTGGGTTTGCATAGCGCCCGTTTCTTATCCAACCAACGTCTATTTTAAATCCCATCAAGTTCAGACCACTTGCCTTTCAGTGAGCCCAGGTGGCAAAGGCGTGGAAGGTGGCGGAAGAGCTGGGAGACCCTGGCCCTGGTCACTCTCGTGTGTCCGTGGGCAGGCATCGTACCTCTCTTCCAGAAAACAGGGCCAGCACTTCCCACCCTTAAAACCCCAAGGGCTGCTTCAGGGAAAATGAGAAAATAAGGAGGAAAGGGCTTGGCAAAGTAGAAATTGTTCCACACGAATGCAGTATGAAATGTTCTAAGCGATAACGTTCTAATCTGACCTTTTTTCTCCTCTTGTGTGAGCAGTTTTTTACAGTAGGTAGTTCCTAGTGAGGATTGGTCAGGACACGGCTGTCACTTTTTTCTCTCCTGGTGGGAAGCCATGCTTTCGAAAAGGATGTAGGGTTCGCGAGTCCTGAACACCCCCTTCCTTAGCAGCGGTGAGCTTAGGTCCCCTGTGCTCTCAGACGACAATGGACAACACGTAGCCGCTTAGAGGGGCTCTGAGGAACAGAGGGAGGTCATTCTACTTCCCTGTCAATCAGACGTACTTAGATCACGTTCTTCTCTTTCCTTTCTCGCTGCCGTTGCCCTAGTTCTAGAATAGTTCATTGGCTGGGCCATTTCACATGACCACTTTCTAGTCACTGTTCTTGCCTTCAGTGTCTCCTTTCTCCTGCATACACCCTCTGAATTTTGCCATTCCTTGCCCGGAAATCACCAGCGCCGGTCTGCTGCCTACCTAAGCGAGTTCAAACCCCAAGTCTGACATCCGGGGTCTCCCACACTCTGGCCCCAACCTACCTGCCCTTCTACCTCATCCTCCTCACATCCAGGGAGAATTTGGTTGCTGGGCAACATGGTCAGTTCATCGTTGCCTGGTTACCCACATCCCCCTATGTTTGTTCATGGCCACCACCTCCATAAATGCCCTTCATTCCTGTGCCGCCTTCCCCATGCCTCCCCACCCTCAAAAATCCCTTTTGCTTCCACGGCCGTCTCCTCGTTGCTGCCTGTGTTTTCCTCCTTAGCCCTTCTCCCCTGCTTCTCTCTGCCTCATCACACATACCCTGCCTTTGCGTTATAGATACGTGAACAGACAGACCTACTTGGTCTTCGTGTCTTTCACTCCTGAATATTTCCTAAATATTTCCTAAATGCCTGTATTAGTTGCTCAAAACATGTTTGCTGATGGATGAATCAGGTAAGAGAAGGCAAGTCGCCACTGGATTTACAAAGTGCACTCAGTGGTCAATATCCACATCTTACATAGCAGTAAAGTATCTAGTAGTGATTTTTCTTTCTTTTAAATGCTTTACTAACCCACAAATATCCCGTGTTTTTAATTCAGAAAGTTTCTCCAGTCTGCCCTATAATAAAAAGTTTCCGAACTTTTGGCCAGTGCGGATTCTCCGAGAACATGATTCGCATTAAATCCATGAAGCTGCATAGTGATGATATTGTCAAGAGGATGATCCCTTTGAATGCTGCAGAACTTCTCCTGTCCTCAAAGAAACCCTATGCCAAAACCTGTTTGTGGGATACCATCCATAGTAGAAATAGAAATCATTTCTGGTGGCCTTTTCTCTTTGTCATCTCTACCAGATGGGGCATTGAAACCTCCATGGACAGACGTGTTGGGGGTAGAAGCAACTTGAAATTGGGAAATTTAGATCCTTCCTGTGGCTCTGCTTTTGATAAGTGGCATCGCCTCTGCATTTTTGCCTCGTCTATAAAGTTTACCAGATAAGCAAGCTCTAAACTCCCCTTCTAAATTCCATAGTTCTAGAGTCCTTCCAGTATGATCTTTGGTTCCTCCTGTCAGCTCCAGGGATGCCCAACTCCACTGTAGCCTAGCCTCCCTGGACACCTCTTTGGGTAGAGTTAGCCCCTGCCATTCCTTCTAGCCTCCCCCTCTAACCCCTAAAATTGTATCTTGAGGTCCTAAATGGGAAGGAGGAAGAGCTTTCATTACATAAACCTTTCCCTGTGAATTCTCAGAGATCCGTGGAAGCAGAAAGCATTATTCTTCCCGGGGCGGAACACTTTATTTTTAATTATTTTCAAATGTGAGTTAAGGGAGTGAGTTCACTCCAGCCAATTTTAAATGTAAATAGAAACCCCTGGAAGAAAAAGAGCAACCCCTGTACGATGTTTCTTATTCAAGAGTTTTAGTGAAGGTGGAAATAAAGTGTTAGTGTTCTCTCTGTAAAGGCAGGGCGCCATCAATGTCCGTTTATGACAGAAACATCCCGTGAGTTTTGCTTTGTGATAATTACAGGAATGGAAAAACAGAGATGAAACTTTTCTCTTTGGAAGCCATAGCATATGTATTTTTGTTTGGGTTTGCTTTTCTCCCATGTTCGGCAA